GCGTGAGTATCCAGGATTGATGCTGCTCATTTGTTTGTAACTGAGCAGAGTCGAAGACCGATACTACAAGCCGTTAAATTTCTCGTGGTGTTCGTGCGACCATTTGTTAAGAAGCAACATTCTGCGTATGGCGCTTACGTTGAGGTAAGCGCAACTTAACGATAGAGTGATGCAATGGGGCAACCCATTATATTAGGTAGTTATAGCTTTATTACACAATGACATGAGTAGGTACATACTGTATCCGAATAGCGGATACAGCACCTTATTTTACTGTTGCGCTATTATTGGGGTACCAGACCTAATAATTAGCCAATAGCAAATTGACCTACTTTGAGTGATTCTCACGAGAAGAGAACCCCCTCGTACTTAGTACATATTTATAGCAAAATATGAACAGAGTTAATTTTGCTATATAAAAACAACAGCGCTTCCTCAAAGCATTTAGTGTAAGACGGTAACTGGGCTCTTACCCCGTTACAGGTGGGCAATGCGCCATATCCGAGAAGTTTTACAGGCGTATGGACTAGGCGCGGCACTCACCTTTGTCACTGATACGAAGCTTACACTGATGAACGCGCTCGCCGAGGCGTTTCCGAGCGCGCATTGCTTGATATGCCGCTGGAACATCAACAAAAACATTTTGGCCAAGCTGAGGTCAACATTCGGACGTTGGATACCTGGGAAGAGTTCAACAAAACTTGGAACAGACTTTTTTGCTCCCACAGCCATGTAAATTATGAAACGCAACTTGGATTAATGCATGCCACTTTCCCTGCAGTCTCGATGCGCTATGTTGAGATGACTTGGCTTACGTTTAAGTAGAGATTTGTTGCTTCTTTCTTTCGCAATAAACGACATTATGGCCACGTTACGACATCACGCGTAGAAATTGCCCATACTGCTGTCAAGAAATGAATTGCTGTGTCTACAGGTAAGTTGTATGATACATCGATCATTTTCTCATGTGTCTTTTTCTGACAGCTTATTTGTTGCAGGTGATCTACTCTCAGTGGATTCGGCAGTTTGCCTTGCTTGTGAAGTTCAGCTTGATGTTTTTGTGCAGCAAAATGCAAAGCAGCGTGCCATTGTAAACATGTATCTTGGTCCGATGTTCTCACCGGTGATGGGAAAGATTTCGGTAACAGGCCTGCGTGCTGCGGATCAGCAATACTAGTATCAGGTTGAAGATGACGGTGATTGTCAAGGCTATGTAGACTTCGGCAATTTTACATGGACTAAATGCGACAGAATGATAACTATTACTGTTAGGATTGTTGGCATCTACAATGGGATATCCCTATGCCCATGCATTTCTTCATCAAGTTGTATTACTATCGCTCAATGATTCCAATCAACATTAATGACTAGTCCAGCCACCAATGTTGAAGGATGTCACGGTCGTGTCCTCTCCAATTGCAATCCAGACAGAATTGAATACGATTGCAGGCGAATATGTCGACGCCCCAAACCATCGCAAGCGCATTTCCTTGACCATGTTTTGGCAGTCCCTGAGACCGTTATCTGTGATCCTGTGCGAGTGCAGACATGTTGTCGTCCAACAAGCTCAACACAGCGACTACCATCGCTATTTGGGCATGTGGATGCTGCTTTCGGCGCTATAGTGCAGCTCCGACGATTTCGGATCTGCCAAGCAACCGGCCATGATTCCCGCACCTGTCGTCAACCAATACCACCAGTACCAGTGGATTTAACTTTACCGGTAGTTTTACTGTCAGCGGTAGGTCTAAAGGTCCAAAATTTGTGATTTCGACGAATTAAAACCTCTAATGACAGGTTCTTCTCGAAACAGCAACCCCCTATATGTGACTTAGATAATTGGTACTGATGGATAAGGGCTAGTATTGTTGTGCAGACACTGGATAGGCAGTTTGTCGAACCCAATGCATTTTCTCTGTTTGAGAGACTAATGTGTGCGGCAAAGCGTTGATATCGTAGGGGTGCAAGGCTGTTCATAGTGGGTCAAATCGAGAAGAAAGGTGGTCAAAATGGTAGCGCAAGGTGCTTGTTGTTAGGCTTCAGGGAAGTCGTTGAATATTAAGTTCTGATTCGCCACTTGGACCAATCAGAGGCCCTAATTTGTGGGGTGAGTGCTGGTTAACGCAAATGTGAGTGATGAATAACGAACCCCTTTTTTCTGTGCACGTGAAAGAGGAGGGGACGCAGCGCGCGATCAGCGGATTGCATAAAACCCACCATACGGTATGTAGGGACGAAATTTGCCGTATTCCGCGATTTAATTTGCTTTAACTCGATTCGATGCTATATCTCGCTGTTTGCTCAATTCATGCAACGTGTAGTAGGAAGGACATTATCAAGATTGTAAAACCTTCGTTTCTATTCTTTGCAAGTCGATGACGAAGATTCGGCGCCATTCCTGATGTACGTATCAAGTGGTTTTGACGTCGTTGCTACTTGTTTTATTACCAGTGATCGCATAGAAGGGCTAATCAACTTGCGAGACGAGTAGAAGACCAGAAATTGCGTCATAACGGCTCAGTCAATAAACGTCGAGCTCAGACGGAAGACGCGATATGATGATTATGTGGAATAATCATTTAGGACGCTCCATGATCGAAGCAAGCAGTATTTGCAAGTGCAGGTAAAAGCACCTGTTTTTAGAGGCCATTGAGTTTGCACCCGCCAATGCTTTATGCATTTTGTTTTCTGTACATATAAGCAAGAAGGGACAATATTATTAAAATGTAGCAAGCGTATTTAGATCAACTTTATATAAGTTTTAAAACGCCGAGATAAAGTCTTGGCTGTCGCGATGCACACATTCGAGTAAATATCGTTTGGCGATGAAACGTAGTGCTCAGAAGATGCACCCTTACGCTGTCTCTTCGTCACGCGGAGTTCCCACGGGCACCCGTCTTGTGGGCACGCATACGCTTTGCTCCCACCACTTCACCTCTTGACCTTGCACTGTCTATTTATATTCAATCAGTCGTCATGTACGAACATAGTTGCAGCAGCGCCAGTCCGGAAAAAATGTTATTTCAACAGTACATTGGTACCGTGAATCTCTTCCATGTCGATCTTCGCCGTTTTGGGAGACATCTTATGGATTTTATTTTATGTTTCGTACATGTAACTAACTTTACCAACACATCACACAAACAAAACGTGCGGTCCCCATTATTTGTGTTCTGCGTGGGCTCGTCTCAGAACTGGTGCTGGTTTCTGGGCTTTTGCACAATTCTACTGCTGGTTTCTGGATTGCTCCCACACGGCGTTCGTATCTCCTCGTCGCACATGTCACCACTGGTCGCTATTCCCACATGGCGTCCGTATCTCCTCGTCCCATCCGTCAACCTGTCACTTATGAGTTAGTCAGGTGAGATCGGGCCTTACCTATAACAGATCTCGCAATTGAATCTCGGGACTTCGAATATTTGTCAGAAATCAAATCTTCCAACAATTTCTGCCAGACGGCCCCATGAAACACCCGAAGGTAGATGGGAATGTAACTATACTGGCTCTATTACAGCTTGTCATGGGTTTTCATGACACTGGATGCTCCGACTAGTAAAGCCTTCAGGTCAGTCAATTATCACACACCTCACGATGTGGTGGCGAGACACCCAATGGTCGGCTCGCTGCTCGTCGTCTAAATTTGACTATCTCCGGCGATCTATGGTCGTACCACCTCCCGCGCTATCATTCCAGGTACTTCTTGTCCAGTGCCAATGCCATACCGCCTGTCCACTGAGGTCAGTTGCTAGTAAACTGAAAGCAATCCAGTGCATCTGCTTCGTATCGAGGTGGGTTTGCAATGATTCTGTGTGTCTACCTGCATATCTAACTAAGCAGAACGCGGGTTTGATGCACACGCCATTCCTACTGCATGTACAGTAGCTAGCGTGCAAAGCAAGCAAGGATTCTATGACCATTATTTGTCAGTGCATCATATGATGCGCCTGTTGCCGTCGTAGAAGAGGACGAGGTGTGAATAAGTCTTGTTTTCGTGCGACCTTAGAACGAAACGTGCTATGCGCCTCGTGAAGATCTCACTGCCAATGTCCTCGAGAAAGTTTGCGTCCTCGAGTCAGGTTACGCGTCGCATGTTGCAAATAGCTCCTGACGCTGTCTTTTACGCACGTGTTATTGTCTCATGTTCTAGCACACCGAATGTCCGATGATCGGCTCCAACTAGACTCGTTTCGCTGTCCTGCCAGCTCTGCTCACCCAGGCACTAAAATCGAGAGTAAACATTATTCTGATGTGTGAGGAACTACGGTAGCGGGTTAGAAGCTGAAGTGCGGCGTTCATATGAAAGAGAAAGCCGTCCCTTTTTTCGTGGTGGACAGGTCGTCGCGCTCACCGAAGTCAAGAGTTTGATCCGTTCAGCATCCTCAGCGCCAAGTCAATGAAGCCATCTAAACGAAGCGCTTATCATGGAAAGCAATGACTGTATACTTTGAACATGGGAACATTCCTATGATATCCGAGGGCGAAAAGTGCTTGCAGAGCAAGCGAGGCAGGATACCAATCGATGCCCAATCGTCCCGAGCCTTATGCAATTCATATGTAACCATCCGCCACAAAAACAAAACTGGTCGGCCGATTTATTTTCTTATAATTCGGGGCTTCTCATCAGCGAGAACTGGTCTATAGAAGTACGAACTTAGTCCCGCTCTGTAGGCGGCAGATGCGGAATCTGACCGAAGGCAGTTGCGTCACCTGAGACACCTCAACGAGCCCAATCTATGAGCTTCGCAGGTGCTCGTTTGACCGCATTTTTCCAATGGTTTGCCAAAGCCGAGGGAAATTCGGACCATCATCGGCCTGGTCTTCCTCTCGTAGTACTCTCGGCGGGAACCCTTCCGACTGGCGAAGACGGGTGCGGGGGGACCGTTTCTGCTGGAGGTAGGGGGTATAGTCCGTGGTCCATACCCACTTCGTGGTCGGCCCGAAGGAACCGCAGCTCCGGTCGATCATTCTGCGATTTGCCTTATCACTCATCCGACGCCAATATGCGTCTGCTCTGTAACATTGCGGTGTGCCTTTTCGTTCTCCTGCTATGCGCAAGTGGTGCGTCAACAGCCACGAGAGGCATACAGAAGTACGCTGCAGCTCGGAACGCGTCCGATGGTTTGCTTCGTCTGGAGACAAACGTGGCTGACGAGCCGAATCGCTTGCAGCCGCAAGACTCAGTGGCCGACAAGGCCAACGACGAACATCGGGAACAAGAGGAGAGAGTGGGGATGACGGTTGAACCCTGGACGTCCAGCGCAGGACATTTCTTGGAATCGAACGAGCTGCTACTGCGGCAGAAAATGCACTTAAACAGAGCGCTCGCGCCTTCCACGCATGACGAAGAGATAGAAACGGTGTTCGCTCGTGTGAATTTGCAGCAGTGGCTTTCCAAGTCCCACAAGCCCGACCACGTCGAAGCGTTTCCGGTTGCTTCCGGTTCCGTCTTGATTACAAATGGACGAGGAGGAGGAGTGGCGAAAGTTTTCCTCTGGCTTCGAGGATTCACTCACCAAAAAGACTTTGCGGAGATGTGGCAACGTATTTTACTCGCTCACTACCCTGAGACTTTGCCACTGGTGTCTGAGGTGTGGCTGAAGTCAGGCTTGAGCCCCACAGAAGCTTACCGCATGATGCCCGTCTCAGCCAAGAAGACGTATGGTTGGCTCGATGTCCACCGCACGACCAATGATTGGATTGATTATGTTGACAAGTATCGATCTCTGGGTCACGACTACAGCGACAGCCAAGTGGCTCGAGTGTTGGCGAACGATAGGCACGCAAACACGTTGGAAGAAATTTTTAACTGGCTCAGGATAACTCCGTCTAAGAAGGACGGCGCAGACCGGATGCAAAAAGGTTAGAGTTGCTACCAGTGCTCTACCGATGGATCAAGTCGGGAGTGAGTCCCGATAAGGCGTACGTGCAGTCTGTAACGGGGCACTGTTAAATACGTACTGGTTGACCAGTACGGAGTATACTTCCACTGACGACAGTGGTCGACAGTGCCCTGCTAGGTGTTTAAGGAACACAGAGGAAGGAAGGGAGAATAAGTAGTCAGACCAGTCTCTGGTAAAAGTAAAACTGTATTAATATAATTAAGTCCTATAACTCCTTGAATCTCTGTTATCCTGACTTAATTATACTAATATAACTATATGTATGATGACGTCTACTCACCACCCATTGCGCGCGTCTAGCAGCGATTGGTTGGTTAATATCATCACGATATTAACCAATGAGTAGACCCTTCGGTCATCCCAACAATATCACCATGTCTGTGACATTGTTAAAAGAATATTCGACGTAATATTCTTTTTTGTCAAATTGTTTTAATGACAATTTCATGTAACGGGCTACCCCGTTACATTACCCCTACCTTATCTGATAGTCACCGTATGACCATCGAAACTTGGTGGACACCCGTTGAACACCAGTGAGACAGGGAGCACTTGTTTGGTCAGACTCATTCACTCCTGACCTTGCCTCGCATAGTTAACATGTCTATGCGAGGTGATTCGAAGACCACACAGCCTGCTGCTGTGCCAGCCTCTGCGGTAGACGCTTCGTCGTCTGCTGCTTGTCCTCCGTCTGCAGCAGAAGGTGCTGCAGACGCACGCGGTATCGCACCACGTGCACATGATGACCTTGACAATGAGGTCATCAAGTCTAGCGAGTCAGACGTGTCTGACTCGCGCAACGTTCCAAAGACATCCCGATCACTAGCGGTGTCTCATCGTTTGTCAAGTGCACTGTCGAACGAGCGCACTCGTGAAATTCAACACAGTCTGTTCGGCAGTGATGATGAACTCTATGGTGAGGAATACTATGCCTCACCAGTATCAACTCGTTCTTTTCCGCACGAGCGTGATGACGATGGCGAGAGCCGTCGTCGTTCTGAAAGCCGTGGTACCGAAACAGGTACCACATTGAAGCGTGGTGAGCTCAAGCCGTGGCGCTTGCCCGAGCAGCTCATCAATAGCTTGTCTCACGAGACAAGCCAACACCATCGAATTCCTTTATTCGATGCAACTGAGCTTCATGGCTTAAGTTCCAGCGCGAGTAACTTCCGCGCTGAAGAAGACTTCTATCTCGATGCCTTCCTTAGGCATCGATGGTATAATGGAAACCAAAAGCGTTACAAAAACTCACTTTTGGCAGCGTGGAACGCCTTCGTCCAAAATGTCAAGAATTTTGGACGAGAAGGGTGGCTTAAGAAACTTGAGGCGGTACGCCTCAAGTTTGAAAAGCGAACGCCAACCGTTGCTAGGTACCGGTTGCATCGTTTGTCAAGCGAGGCAGACATTCCTTGCCTCATTTGGGGAGATCCTTGTGTGAGTTGTGTTGACAACTCTCAGCGTGCACATAGGAACGTGATTTCCCTAAGTTAGCCCTGGGGAAGGGCACACATCTCGGCTGAGATGCGTGACGCGATTGCAAACTTGCAATCCGTCTACAAACGCCAAAAGCGTGTGTTTACCGATGGGCCCTCGGACCAATCGGATGAGTCTCGTCATGTTGGTGAACGAGACCGGGCACATCCATCATCAGCTGGGAGCCCCGCTTCCAGCTGTTCCAAGAGGGTGGATACCCCCGCCACTGGACGAGGTAGCTCGTCCTTGATCCTGAATCGTCACGGTGGTTCAAGATACGCTCCACTAGAAAGCGTTGACCCTCGTGTGAGTCCACCAACGGATGTGGCGGAGGAGAAAAGACATCCTCCAGATCGTTCTGCTCACCATCTCGATACTCACGAGATGGATCGCACAATCGTTGAATTGCGCGATGATTTAGAGCACGAGAGGGACAGGCGTTACGCTCTGACTGACTCTTTGCGGAAGTACCGCAAAGAGCACGAGACGAACCGTGCGAAGGACCGCGCTGAGTATGCGGTCGCACAGCTGCGGGTCGAGCGCGACGTCCGCTCCTTCCTTGGCGAGCTGGCGACATCTCGCGGAGAGATCTCTTAATTGCGTTGTGAGGTCTCTTATTTACGCGACCAGACGTACCGTCTGGAGCGAGAACGCAATAACTTGATCGATGTTCTTGAACGTGGGGGCTATCTTCATCGGAAGAAGAAGGCTCGTACTGAAAGTACGGCCTGAGTCGCCCCAAGTAAAACGTAGAATGTGTGCGCATCTTACGTCGCAATTTTATCAAGTATGCATTGTCCTTGCGGTGCAACACACGATAGAGACCAATGTATATCGGCAGTAGTTTACTACTGCCGACATTAGTGACTACATGTCCAGGTAAGTTCACCGTAGACAGTAGTACTAGGTCGTTAACCTTAAATGAAAGAACATTTGATCTTCCATTCTTGTCTGCGTTCCGTTTCTGGCGGTCCACCGCATTTGCGATGGAGTCCTGAACGAAACGGACTACCGCCTTTCGAGTCAGCAGGAAGTTCTCTGATGACTCGTTGTTTTGTCTTTCAGTGCGCTTCGTGCGCACTGCTAAGATATCGTTCTCTTCTTCAACGAGGGTGTATTCTTCCTCGCTGGAATAATCATTGACGATGCTTAATATCCCAGCATCGTCATCGTTGTCTGATGTAGCAGCAGCGTCATCGCTACTGCTAAGCTCAATTTCCTCGATGTCGACAACGTCGACATCGGCATCAAACGTATCGGCGTGAGCGGTGATACGTGATGAGCAAGAGCCAAAACGGTTTTTGCTCGAGCGAGTCTCTCCCTTCTTAACTCAGAGTCACTCTGTATGAGGACGGGAATACGAGGGTGGCGTAAGCCATTCACGTAGAATGGTGTATGCGTTGTGGACGCATTCACGGAGTTGTTGATGGCAAACTCAACCATCGGCAAGAACTCACTCCAATGTGAAAAGGAGTGGACGTATCCACGAAGAATTTCTTCGAGGACACAGTTCGCCCGTTCAGTCCGACCATCCGTTTCGGGATGATCAGAGGTTGACATCTTCAACCGTGTTCCCAATGTGCGGAACACGGATTGCCAAAACGCCGCCGTGAACCGAGGGTCACGGTCGGATACGAGTTCACGGGGTAAACCGTGGAGTCGAAACACAGTGTCGATAAATACACGCGCACATCCGTGAGCGTCGATCGATTCTAGGACTGCAGCAAGATGTACCATCTTGCTGAAACGATCCACAAACAAAAGAATACCATTATTCTTGTTAGTGTCTTCGGGAATTTCGAAGACAAAGTCCATCGACACGGACTCCCAACACTCTGCCGGGACCGGCAGAGGTTGTAACGGTGCACGGGATGAATGGCTAGGCTTCACCCGTTGACAGACCTCGCAATAACGAATGTACTTGTGGACAAACGGATACTGGCGGGGCCAGTAAAAGGCACGATTGACCGTGAGGTAAGTCTTTTCTCGGCCACGATGTCCGCCAGACGGTGCATCGTGACATTCGAACATAATTCGTAATCGCAATTCATCATGATCGGGAACGACGACACGAGGCGTGTCGTCGGCAAATGATGTATTGTACAGCAGGCCATTGCGAGTCGTGTACCGATCCAAAGAGGAACGGTACAGAGCCGGCAAATCCGACAAGGATTCCCGGGATGGGTTCGCAAGATGACACATCAAACGGAGGAGATTTGTGTCTCCTGCGTATGCTTTCCGCACGTCGTCGAGTAAAGGTGACGACGGCACACTGATGGACAGTGTCGCAACAGTGGGCAAAGCCTCACTGTTGACTCGGGACGTTGGCTCGAAGTCGGGCCGACGTGACAACGCATCAGCGACGACATCAAGTCGTCCTGATATATACTCCACGGAGAAGTTATACTCCGCGAAGAAGGACAATCACCTCGCCATTCGTTGCGAGAGGTGTGGACTGTTTACGGCCGTGCGTAGTGACGTATGGTCCGTATAGACGATGAACGGTCTATCTCCCAAGAGATAGACCTGGAACTTAGCTAGTGCTTATTTCATAGCAAGGAGTTCCTTGTCATGCACTAGGTAATTGCGTTCATCTGGTTGCATCTGACGCGATTGATAGCAGACGACGCGCTCTGCGCCGTCTGTGTCATACTGCATCCCTGCACAGCCGATAGCAAAATCGCTGGCGTCACAGACCACACGAAAAGGTCAATCCTGATCTGCAATCGCCAATATCGGCGATTGCATCAAGCTTTGCTTGATACCCTCAAAAGAACGCTTGCACTCAGCGTTCCATGACCACTTGACATTTTCTTGAGCAAGCAAGAAAGATGAACAGTCATCTCGGAGTAGTTGCGCGAGTACTTGTGCAAGTACGCCGCTAGCCCAAGGAACTTCCTTAGTCTCTTGACATCGACTGGCACTGGCCAGTCGGTGATCGACTTGATCTTTTCGGGATCAGGGCGTACGCCCTGTTTGCCGACGATGCACCCAAGAAGTGATATTTCGTTTGCCGCAAATATACACTTCTCGAGGTTGGCATACAACTTATACCTGCGCATAAGTTGAAGAACCTGACGAACGTGAGTTCGGTGGACTTCAACGTCCGTCCTTCCGTCCATGGCCCGGCTATAGACGAACACATCATCGAAATAACTCGGTGCGAAATCCCGCACCGGTCTCAACAGATTTGTAGCGCATCTGTTAAATGTTGCAGGGGCATTACTCAGCCCCTGTGGCATCACTAGCTACTCCCACAGCATACCGCTGGGGTGCGCACTTCTGTGTGCGGAACATCCCGTTTACGCATAAGGATCTGATAGAATCCGTCCATCAGATCCATGGACGAAAAGATGGTACTCTTTGACATACCATCTATGATTACGTCCTTTCTTGGTATCGGCGTCTGAGCCGGTACCGTTTCAGCATTCAATTTGTTGAATGCGTGCACTATCCGCCATCCTCCTGTGGCCTTTCGCAAACAGAAGGTC